GCAGAAGTGACTTCAGTTCCTATTTCTCCTACCTGGTGCCCTTGACTTTCATTTATGAGTGTCTAACAAAGAACATTCATGTGTTAGAGGAGTTAAAAGCAGTATTCTTCAGTAGTGATAGCTTTCCCCTCAGTGCCTCAATGTTGTTTGCACAGAATCTGTAGCACATCTTTTGTCAAAGCTGTGGTTTGCTTTCATAGGACTGTTTGTGCTGTAATGACGTTCAAGTATATTTTTCTGGAGATAGGTAGTGCGATGCCTCATGATGCTCAATGTGCTCCTCTTTGTAGTACACGGCAAAGAAAGTAAGAAATACCATAAAAAATACCAAGGGTATTTTTACTACATCTACATAATCTTTTTTTTTTTTAACAATGCTTAAATGGTGATAACATTGATGACTGGAGAGTTTGTGTAAAGGGAAATTTACAGAGTTCTGTTTTATAAATCAGCTTCTAGTAAATAAGATGGGTTTTCATAAATAATAAGTAAATATCAGAGATGCAGACATTGTCTGCTTTCTCTGTTACAGTGTGATCCTCTGTGATGTTAATAGAGCTGAGATCTTCCAAAAGAGGACACTCTAGGAATAAGGTACACCATCTGATCCTGTAAGAAATTTTGTGTGATGCATACACCCAGGACAGATAGAGATCTGTTAGAGGAGCGGATGTATGAAATACAAATGGAACATGACAAAGAACTCTTTTCAGAGCCTTGTTTGACTAATTGTCATAGCATCTTTCCAAGGTTCAAAATACACATTGGTACTTACCTGGATAAATGCTTATTAGGATATTACATTCATTAAAATACACATGTACTTATAATCTTTTCAGTAGCAAAACACTGGTGTGGATTTTAAAGTTTTATGTGGACCACAGGGTTTCTGTTTCTGAAGGTGTACAATGATTTGCATATTTTCAATTAAAAAAATAATGTTTGAGAACTGTCTTTTCTCCGCTGTTCTCAAGTGCAATTTTGCCATAAATGGCAAAAAACACACCTGTGTGTGTTTCTTTTTGGGCACTCTATTCTATTGGTCTATATGTCTAACTTGAAACAATATTCAACTGTCTTAATTATGGTATCATTAAAATAAATCTCAATCTATAGAAAAAGTCCTGCCACTTTATTTTTCCTTCTTCAAGTATATTCTGGCTATTCTGGTATCTGAGTTTTCATACAAGTTTTCCAATTGGTTTGAAAAAAAAGAAAGGAAGAAAGGAAGGGAGGAAGGAAGGAAGGGAGGGAGGAAGGAAGGAAGGAAGGAAGGAAGGAAGGAAGGAAGGAAGGAAGGAAGGAAAAAAGGGAGGGAGGGAGGCAGGGAGGAAAGGAGGTTATTAAGCTGTTGTTTGTGATCACATTGAATCTATAATTCAGTTTGGGGAGAATTGGCATCTTTATTATATTGGGTTTTCCAATCCATGGACATTGTCTTTCTATTGGTCTTCTTAAATTCCTCTCAATTATATTTTATAGCTCTGCATAAAGGTCTTATACATTTTGTTATTTTTTTCCTTAGGTATTTGAAATATTTATGTCATTGAAAACGACATCTTCTTTGACTCTTATCTTCTAATTTATTGCTAGTTTATATTCATTTGATTTCTGTACATGAACTTTGTATCCAGCAATATTGAAACATTCACATATTCTGATAATTTACCTGTACACTGTTTTAAATTTTGTACATATACAATTACACATCAACTACAAATAATGACATTATCACCCAACTTGCTGCATGGCATATTGTTGGATATGGTTTGCTAAGAATATATCTGTGAATATAAAATATACATATATAAAGTATACCATACATGTATGTATATGGTTTTTTTAAATTGTTTTTTAAGATTTTTATTGGGGAATTGGGGGGATGGGAACAGTGCTGGGGAATTGGGGGAAGGGGAACAGACAAGTTGCTGTCATTTTGTTCTTCAGTCTAGTTGTGGAGGACGTTGCTTCACTGGCCCAAGTTGGCACCATCATTGCGCTCTTCCCGGGTGAGGCAGATCAGTCGCCGGCTTCTGGATGGCTGCTCACTGCGGCTGCTGGCTGCTAACGCTGGCTGCTGGCTACATATGGTAGCCCATGGCAACCCACTGCCACAGGAGCTGCAGCCTATGCCGTCGCTGGCGACTCATGGCAGCCCAGCTCCAGGTTGAGCTGTTGTTCAGCATCTTAGCTGTAGAGGGCAGTGTCACTGGCCCTCATATGTGGGATACAAACCGGGGCCCTCTGCATCCCAAGCCAGTTCTTAACCATCGCGCCACTCAGCCGGCCCTATATGTTTTTTCATGAATGAGATTGAACTATAATTTTCCCTTCTCAAAATGTCCTTTTCCAGTTTTAATATCAAAGGTATGCTGGCCTCATAAAATAAGTCGATGATGGAAAGCATTTGTGTAAAATTGCTTTGGTTGCATGCATTGGTTTATTTTGGGAAATGATCCCAGGTAACAGAACTAAGGAACTGGGAAGTGTGGAAGTGGGAGGAGCAAAAGCAAAAAGCAATGTGCTGGGGACAAATGAGGTTTAATTCTGCTGGAATCTTTCATGTGGTGATGTAGAATGTACTTCTGAACTGTCCGCTCAAGAGGAAAAAGAAGGCAACGGAAACCGGTATTATGTAGTGATTTAAAAAAAATTGTCAGCTCCATTTCTGCAAGCTTCTCTCAAGGAATCCTTTGTGCTTGGATTTAAAGTGCATTTCTCCAGAAGGCATTTGCATTTGCTTCTGCCTGGCACTACCAATCCAAGCACACTTTAAACTACATTTTTAGGTTGCAGCTTTTTCAACATTTGAGCAGTTAATTCTAGCCCAAACTCCTATGAGCATGGTAGCTTGTCAATTCTGCCTCCAAAAAAAATTCTTTCACTTTTTCACCAGCTTACCCATACATTAGTAATTATTTATAAAACCATATAGAGGGGATCTCTGTGAATTTAATCTGCCATATTGTCCTTCCATATTTTATTTTACTGACCAGCTCATGCTCCAGTATCATGTAGATCCAATGACTGAAGTTTATAATGTATTAGAAATATACCTGTCATATATTACAGTATCTTAATGTTTTTAAATGGCTGGAAAGACAACTTCCCCTCATTGTTCTAAATTGTCTTGGCTCTTTTCGGACACATTATTTCATATGGTTTAGAATTCTTTGTCAAAATAAATATCTGTGGGGCACTGACAGGCATTGTATTAATACATACTGACTCTGAGTGTAAAATTTGGGAAGAATTGAGTTATTTCAAATATTTAATCTTACCATCTGTACATTTCTTAATAGTTTTCAGTTTTTCTTCCTAAGAGAAATTTTTTTTCTATTGTAGTTTCTAAGTAGTTATTTTGAGATTACTAGTTATTTTGAAACACATGTTGTTTTTAATATCCCCACTGTACAAATGGCTTAATAGTTCTTAAGGTGTTCTTTTTTAAAATTTTTTTACAACATAGAAGGCTGCCAAAAACAAGCAAAATAAAATAATAAATGCCTCAATTCGTGGCTTATTTTCAAAATACCCAATAATACAAGGATTGTTTTTGCTCTGCAGCCTGGGCAGCCCTTGAGGAGGAAATGCTTACTGCTCTTTTTACCCCTTAATGTTTGGAAAATAAATTATTATATTATAGTTCTCTATTGAGGCAAAGAATAAAAAAATCTTGAGATGGATTTCTAGGAATTCAATACATCTATTCAGACCTTACACGTTGTATGCTTCATTAAAGCATAGTTCCCACTATTACTAATCTGTCATAAAGGACATACACAGTAGTCAAACTTCCTAGGTGTACTCTCTAAAGTAAAAACAAAAGTCCAGCCCATCTCCTACCCCTACCCCTGCCCCCTGGGTATAATAGTTTCTTTTCCACAAAAAATATTGCAAAACTCTGAGAGGCATTCCACTTTCATAATCTGACGTCAATTTACAATCCTTCAAAGTTCAAAAAAAATTTTTTAAGTGGTGAAAAAGCAGTTTATTAGAAGAAAAAGTACATTGCAAAGAAGCAGAAGCGGGCTGAGCAGTAGAGAATGGCTCAAAGGCCATCATTAGAAGAGAAAGTACACTCCAAAGAGTTTGGAGCTGGCCAAGCAAAAAAAGCTCAAAAGGCCTCATGGATTATACCTTTTTTCTTCTTTCTTTATTATTTTATTATTAGTTTCAGGTGTACAGAACAATGCAATAGTTATCCTTTTCACCCCTCACAAAGTAATGGATTATACTTTTGACTCACCTTAAGGGGCCTGCCCGGACCTGAGTCTTCTTATATGTCTTGAAGCAGATAAGGGTGGTGGGGTTGGGTCCAAAATTTTTTTCCTTTTGTCGTCAAGACAGACACCACCCCACCATTGACCCTCGTGCATTATACATTTTAGTAATTAGATCTCAGAAAATATTCACTGAATTTTAACTGGAGGGTATTTTGGATGGAAGTGAGTCCTTAGGTTAACTCTAAAACCCATGATAGAATAAATGACACCCAATGTGTGAACAAGCGAGCACTACATGGTTTTTTCTCTTAAAGGTTTTTTTTGTTTTTTGTTTTTTCCTGAGAACCTAGTTTATTTGGACTCCCCAAAATACTGATTTCCCTCAACAGTCATCGAGAAAACAAGATTCATTGACAAAACATAGATAATCCAAATAACGTTTTTGCTGGAAGATTATAATTGCAGTATAAGACAGGAGATCTCAAAGCAACCTGAGACAATGCCTTGTCCTGATTGGAAAGAAGACCGAGGCGATTACTGAAAGATGATTCTTACATCCCTCGGGTGTGTGTATCTGGGTGCGGGTAATTGTAGAGCTACTAAGGTCAACGCGCGTGTCATCACCAGCGGAAAACCGTGAATCATTTCAGCCACCGCCGCTGGAGGGCGCTCCTAGGAAACCTAACTGCCGATTGATCATATGCTCCCCGGGCCACGCCCCCGGTTTCCTGGGTTACTGACCTCCTCGCTCCTCCGTAAATTCTCTTCCGTCAGGCGAATATCTTACGTTCTCGGCGCGTGACGCAACACGCATAGCTATAAGTACGTGCCAGACGGCGGCCGCTTTCTTTCTGATAGCTCAGCCTGCCCCCAAGATGGCGCCGGTAAGTGAGCGTGGTGTCGCTGGTAGTGTTTTTTTCTTCAGTGTAGATGATTTTCCCGTCTGGCGAGTTGAGGGTGTCTCATTAGAGATAAAAGTAGAAATGGAGACTGGGTTAGGAATAGAACCAAGATATTACGACTCTTAAGTTGTTTGTCCAAGACTTCCGGCGACTGCCATGCGGTCTGGGGGAGTTCGAGCTGGGCCTGGCCATGGCTTAGGATGGGTGGTTGTGCGAGCGCAGGGAAGGAGGCCGACGGCGAACGGGGCTAGTGGGACGGACAGCATTTGGGGCCATTTCTTTTTCCCCCTCGCGCTTAGTAATGCCGATGCTGCTCCGTTTATTTGCACCAGTAAGGAAATGTGGGTAGTCGGGCGGGTCTGACGGCTTTGTCTTGGCGGAGGGATCGCAGGCTCGCGGCTTCCGAGATAGCCCGGTCGTAGAAAGTCCAGGGAACTTGGGAACTAAGTTGGGGAAGAAGTTTCTTCATTATCTCAAGGAATTATTTGGAAGGTGCAAATCATATAAAAGTGTGCTTCAAAGGTTTTATTTATGTTATTAGTGATGAACCAGTAAGATGCTAAAACCAATCCAAAAGACCACTTGAAAAATGTGTCAACAGAAAAAAAAAATTGAAAAAAATTGGGGAGAGTAAGATTGGCACAAATTCCTCGACTACCTAGGAAAGCAAATTGGCATTAGTACTTGGTATCCATTTGGGCGGATCTAATTTGGAGATGACGTCTGATTATTACTGATTAGTCTGTTTTCACTACACCGTCTGAATATATATTGTTAGTAGCCACAGCACCATTTTACTTGTGTGGGTCTAAAAGTTTTGAGTATGGAAAACTTATGTTGTATATGTTTTTAAAATTTAAAATTTTGACCAGAAAACAGCGGTAAGGATTGAATTCTCTGGACATAAGTGGGCGTAACGTCGTGACCTGGCTTGTCATGGAGCTTGGACTAGGAGTACTAATCTGTTTCCCATCTGCAGTGGGAGTGTCAGTAGTAAAGCAGCGCCTGGCCTATAGGAAAAAAGTACCTCGTAATTTAAAATTGGATATCAGTTATCTGGAAAATAATACAAGTTCGTTAAAACTTTTCTTGATAACGTGAACAAAGTGGGCTTGAATAGAGGTTCCATCCAACCTTCATGCGTGTTTATACTTTTACCTTGCAGTAGAAGGTAGATTGATCCTCTTAATCTTTTCCAGTTTTAAAAATAGGATTATTTGTAATGTTCTGATGAAGGAAACCATATACTTTAAAGTTCCTTGAATTTTGCATTTGTGAGACATTGTGTGATCAATGGGAAATTTCCATCAGACTTCACCAAGCCTTTTACGCCAAGTCTGGGCCCTCAGACAGTCTGGTTTCAAAAAAGTTAAGGAGTATCTGATGTTATGCAATTTTTTAGAATTTTGCACCATTTCATATATATAATGTCATAATACATTGTACATCATTGCACTGATACAGATTTTTAAAGTGTGTGTATCAAGTGAATAAATTGTTTTAGAGAGTCATAATTATGTTAACGTTCTGTAGCAGAAAGTCAAGAAGCCTAAGAAGTCAGTCTGGAAGTTTGGTTTGGACCTTACTCATCCAGTAGAAGATGGTATTTTTGATTCTGGAAATTTTGTAAGTATCACTCTACTTTGTTTTTGTCATTATTCTTAAGATTAAGTATGTAATATTTGATTTTAACCTAAGCTCTATTCCTAGGGTACCTTCCCTAGTGAAAATCTAGGGTTCTCTTCCCTAGTTCTGCATGTTTTCTTTTAAAATAGGAACAGTTTCTACGGGAGAAGGTTAAAGTCAATGGAAAAACTGGAAATCTTGGGAATGTTGTTCACATTGAACGCTGCAAGAATAAAATCACAGTTGTTTCTGAGAAACAGTTCTCAAAAAGGTTTGTATTTTCCATGATGTTTTAGTGAAATTGTGAAATAGATATGATGATGAAGTCAGTGAGATATAGCAAAAGAACGTTAATAAGGCCTATAATAGCAAATATATTTAGTAACAGTACCAGTTACTTAGGCTGATTGTTAGTAAGTGTAATTTATTGCAAGAATACAGGCATGTTATGTCCAGTCCCTTGTCCAGTCAGCCCCTGTAATCCAAATTGTATATAAACTAATCATTAGAGATTCGGAGATGAAAGGTAATATCTGTCCTCAATGATCTTATAGACATGCAAATAAATATTCTAAAATGCAGTACTCTGATTGCTATACTGAAAATAGAGATCGAGATGGCACAAGAATTTGCAGAGAACCTGAGAGTGAACAGTGTTGCTAGTGGGATGAGTTGTTCTAGCATAGGGAGCATCATGAATGGCAAGGAGGCTTGAGAGGAACGCTTGGTAGTTAAGAATTGCTGTCAAGTACAAATGGGGAGATAATGGCTGAGTGATGAAAGTATAAGGACTGAGTCCTGTGCTGGTTGTAAAGCTGTCGATCATCTTGAACCTGTAAATGGGGTCAGCCCTGTAGACAGGTAGCCTCTTGTTCATCCAACATGGAATTGAGGTTAGGGAGATTGATAGTGGTGAAGAGAATGTTGACATTTTAGCACATACATATTTGAAGGATGAAATTATATATTGTTTAATTAAACATCTCATTGTGGCAGTAAGACTGAAGAGGAAGCCACTATACTGCTTTCCAACGTAAGAATATTAGTTTATTTTAAGGAGATGGGGAGAATAAGGGTTTTATATAGTGTATAAACTGATTTCTAATTGGGGTTGAGAGGCTACCTTATTTGTATCCTTAGCAACCTTGCACAGTGCTTAATACAAATGAAGTATTTTGGAGGGAACTGGGAACACAAAAGATGAGCATAATGGCACACATCTATATAATGTTTTGCAAAGTAGGTATGTATTCATGAAATTTCGTGGTTTTATTTTAAAGATATTTGAAATATCTTACCAAGAAATACCTTAAGAAGAACAGTCTTCGTGATTGGCTTCGTGTGGTTGCATCTGACAAGGAGACTTACGAACTTCGTTACTTCCAGATTAGTCAAGATGAAGATGGATCAGAGTCTGAGGACTAGGTGAAGCCACCCATTACAGGGCTTTGCTTCCTAATCAAACAAATGAAGCATACACGAGAAACATCCAGATATGGACTTTTAGTTTATCAGTGAATAAAAAAACGTACTCTGTTTAAGATTCTGTCTCTTTTATTTAAGTGTATGCTGTTTACGTGATGCTGGCTATCCTTTGATAGCTTCTGTAAGCAATGTTTAAAAAGCTTATAGCTAGTGGAATTTTCTCCAGGATTTCTGAAATGTATTGCTTTTACATTTGTTAAAATGTAACAATGCTTAGGTTAAAGTACTGCAGTGTTGTATAGGGAATAATGAAGCACAGTTTGGAGTGTAACTATATAGTGAAACATTTAAAATTCTCTGGCAGTCTCAAGTATTTTTGTAGTTTGTAAGTGCAGTCCTTGCCTAGAACAGTTTTTACACACAGGGGCTGAGTGTCAAATTACTCCTGCCCTCTGCGTCAGAGGATGCTGACTAATTATAATTAGCTCAGAGGCTCTGGATGAGCATGGTGTTGCTCTAAACCAGTGATTCTCTGTTAAGAGATCTCCAACCAGATGCCTCGGAGGCACTAGAAACTCAAAACCTTTAAACCTGAACTTTTACCCACTAAATCTGCTTCTGTGTTCCATGTTTGAAAACTTAACAATTTACTCAGCCAGTTGGAATCCCGTCCACTTAAAAACCACCCCCTCCGGCCAGCCGGGTGGCGCGTTGGTTAAGAGCTGGCTTGGGACGCCAGAGGGCCCTGGTTCAGATCCCACATATGAGGGCCAGTGACACTGCCCTCCACAGCTAAGATGCTGAACGTCAGCTCAACCTGGAGCTGGGCTGCCCTGAGTTGCTAGCAACAGCGTAGGCTGCAGCTCCTGCTGTAGTGGGTTGCCATGGGTTACCGTGTGCAGCCAGCAGCCGCTGTGAGCTGCCGTCCAGAAGCCGGCAACTGATCTGCCTCGCCTGGGAAGAGCGCAATGATGGTGCCAACTTGGGCCAGTGAAGCAACATCCTCCACAACTAGACTGAAGAACAAAAGGGCAGCAACTTGTCTGTTCCCCTTCCCCCAATTCCCCAGTGCTGTACCCATTCCTCAATAAAATCTTAAAAAAAAAACAAAAACCCTCACTGATAATTCAAAAAATTTGTCTTCTATACTTAAAGCTTCTCAGTTGATGGACACTTTCCCCCAAATAAAGTAGCCTTAGAGTTATTTAAACAACAGTTTGGCAAAAGCCAGATTACAGGAGATTAGAGTACAATGGGAGGGAGTTGATAACACCATAATTTATTGGTTTTTCAGTGGTTCCAAATGTGGCACCCTTTTCTACATTTAACCTGAAAGTGGTGGTTTCAATAACTCAGGTACTTATATCATGGCCCCTGATATCAGAATTGTGTTGCCAAATCATGATTATTCTAATATGCAGATTTATGTAATAGGTGTAGGGAGAGTGGTTGAAATGAGTTAATTCTTGATTAAGAGCTCTGCAACATTAACACACTGACATAGTACAGCAACTCCTTGGTTCTTTTTCAAACGATTGTAATAACTTACTAACTTAACTCTCCCATTTGAATTGTTCATGTTTTCTACCAATAGTTAACCAAAATCTTAACTATGTGCTTCCCCTGCTGAATTGTGGATAAATGGAGCAAAACCGCTCAACCTGCCCTGTGGTATGGTGAGGGAAACTTACCAAATCACATAAAAACTTAGGTATAACCCAGAAGGGCTTGTTTATAAAAGGAATTTGATCTAGTCAAGGAAGGCTTTGAGGAAGTGTTTGAGCTGACCTAGAACAGGCAAGGTAGTAACTGGATAAAGGGAAAGGGTGTTTCATGCAGAGAACAGCTTGGTAAACTCAGGATACTGGGAACCTCGTTGGCATAGAGTATATCTGCAATAGAGGTTATGAGAAGTAGGCAGAAACCAGCCTGTGCAGGACTAGTCCATGTTCTAATCTTGAGAGCAGTGGGAAGCTACTGAATTTTAAGTGGAGGGTAATGTGATCCAATGAAATGGGCATTTTGAAAAAGGTGGCTGTGGTGTGGAAAATGGTTGTCAGTGGGGTCGTACTGGATGCAAGGAAACGAGGCTATGGCAGTGTCTGTGGACTGCAGTAGGACTGGGGTGTTGGAGATGGGGAGAAGTGGATAGATTTTAAAGATTTTTCATAGAATAAAATCTATGGGACGTGGTGCTGGACATTGGTGGTAAGGGAGAAGGGTCAAGGGTGACACAACTGGCTAGATGGTGGCATTTGCTGAGTTTGGGCACAATGGAAGAAGGCAAGCAAGCTCAGGGGAAAAGTTCCAATTTGGGTTATGCTGAATTTGACGTTCAGAAGATGTCAAGTATGAAGTTGAATGTATAGGGAGCGCTCAGGAAAGATCTAGAGCAGCGGTTCTCAACCTGTGGGTCGCAACCCCTTTGGGGTTCGAACGACCCTTTCACGGGTCACCTAAGACCATTGGAAAACAAAAAGGTATTTACATTACTATTCATAACAGTAGCAAAATTACAGTTATAGAGTAGCAACGAAAATAATTTTATGGTTGGGGGTCACCACAACACGAGGAACTGTATTAAGGGGTCGCGGCATTAGGAAGGTTGAGAACCGCTGCTCTAGGTGAAGATGTGCTAGTTTTATGCACATAGGAGTAGTAAACAGTGTGGGTAATTGCCTATGAAGAGAGTACAGTGAGGATCAAGTGTCGCAAACAGCACATGTCACCTTCATTCCTCCCCTAGAGTAATATTTCAGAAACATCTGTGTTATAGTCACATGTTTAAAATTATTCAAAGTTAATTTAACATTTAATAATGTGTACTGGGGCCTGAGTACACTGTGCCAAATAGGATTTGCATGACTTGAAGGAGTTGGCAGGTTAGTTGAGACAAGTAAATACATTTATTTAACAGATAATTTATGTTTAAAGAGGCCTTAATTCCTATATTAGTCCCCTCCATTCTGCTTCTTTCCCCTGCATGTAGCCATTTAAAAAGAAAATTATAGTTTATATTTTTTAAAGATATGCACCATTAGTTAAGTGATAGCTTACTATACTCAATTTTCTCCACATTACTTTTTTTCACTTGATGATACCCTGGAGTCAATCAATTGCTTCTGTGTGGATGTACCATAGCTTATTCAAACAGTTCCCTGCTAAGGGCATTTTAGTTGTTTCCAAACCGTTGCTGCTATAAATAGTGTTGAGTTAAAAGCCTCTTGCGCATGCCTTTTCTTATATTTTTGCCATTAAATCTTTGGAGTGGATTCCTAGAAGTGAGACTCCTAGAGACTCAAAAGAGAAAGAAATGTGCAATTTCAATAAATAGTGCCATTTCCCTCCATGGGGGTTGTATCATTTTGCTCTCCCACTAGCGTTCCCACCAGCAGTGTATGAAAATGTCCATTACCCAGAGACTCGCTAACAGATTATATTGTCCAATTGGAGTTTTTTGGTCTACCTGATAGGTAAGACATGGTTATCAGGGTAGTTTTATTTTGCATTTCTTTTCTGAGTGAGGTTGAGAGTTGCTTAAGGGCCCCTGCATTTCTTTTTCTGTGGGCTGCCTGTTTATATATCTAGGATGTATAATGGAATTCTTGGTCTTTTTATTCTTAATTTTTTGAAGCTTCCTCAGTATTCAGCCCTTGTCTATGTTTAGATTTAATTTTTTTTCAGTTTGTTGTTTGTATTTTCCCCATATTTATGGTGTTTTGGGGTGTTTTTTTTTGTTATAGAAGAATTTTATTGTATGCAATTAAATCTGTTACTCTTCCTTATTGCCTCAGGATTTTGAGCCAATGTTAGAAAAGTTTTCCCCATTTCCAGGTTATTGAAGAATTCATTCATGGTTTCTTCTAATGCTTGTATGATTCCATTTTTAAAATTTAGGTCTCTATTCTAGTTGGAATGTATCCTGGTTTACCATTTGAGAAGTAGATCTAATTTTACATTTCTTTTTTCCGTGTTGCTACCCACTTACAACATTAACCCTGATTAAAAAGTACTCAGGAAGTTGTGATTAATACTGATTTTCCTACTTGTCTGGAAATCCTTGTCTGTGGTTGTGCTGAAGTGGTTGGAGAGTCTACATTTATAGCTTTAGTGTGCTGCTGTTTTACACACTGGATGACTTAAAAGCCAGAGGGGAGTGTTAATTCTCCTCTAATAATTAAAATAATGCGTTGCAGTTTTTAAAGGGCTTTTTCTTTTGACCCTTCAGCAGTCCTGTTTGCCATAATATCATCTTCCCCATTTTGCGTGTGAGGAAGCCGCATCTCAGATAACCTTCCTTGCCCAAGGTCACACCTGGTCACCCACCTGTCAGCCCTCACCCAGTGCTGCTCCCGCCTAAGACTGTGCCACTTCACCACACAAGGCCATGGTCAGGCTGTGTTACAGGAGGAGCACTATTCAGGGGTTGGAAGACCTGCCTCGGATGCCTACTGGCTATGTGATCTTGGATACACCTCTTCACCCCTCTGGGCCTCAGTTTCCTCATCTGGATATAAAGAAGTGGTTGGAAATACATCGGTGTTTGTCAAACTTGCGTAACCCAGCCTCCTTTTGATAAACAGATGTTTCCCTGCCCCAGTTCTGATCGCCCTCCCCATGATATGACTGATGTATAAATATCCCCACCAAACAAGGTTTGGGGAGCATTCTATTCTAAAAGTAAGGTTCCTTCAATTTCCCAATATAAATTTATGATGTTGAGTATGTGTTTTAAGACACAAGCTCCTTTAAAGTAACATATGTATCTGCCCCCCACACCCCATGAAGAGGCATGCTCTAAAGCTTTTTCCTGCCCTGAAGCTGATTCAAAGAACCAGACTAGGAATCAGGAATCTTCTATCAATTAGATTGACTGGATATGTTTTCTCCCAAAGGGAACCGTACAATTGCTCTTTGCCTGTCTCTCCGTTTCTGGATGGTGTGAGTTACACTGATATCACAAGTTAGAAATACATGGTCATTGATTTCTCTTCTGCCAGGCCCTGTCCTCAGAGCTTATGAGTGACTTAGATGTGCTCTCTGCACTCAAGGAGCCCACAGTTCTAATGGGGGAGGCAACCATGGGGACAAACAACTTGAGGTAAATGTGGTTAGT